TTTGACGGATGGAAACATGACCGGCCCTGCATGAACTCTACTGGTGATCACTGGGTGTCAAATGCATCCAAAGTCTCTTAGAGATCCAGTCACAACCACTAATTCAAAGCAAGAAGAAAATAAAAATCATCAATGGGATGATGACTGTGGACTACTTTTAAGAGGAGCTGTTATACTGTATGTCAAAGTAAATGTGTCACCAAAGCTCTTATTACAGCCTGACAGAGACTAATTAAGGGGCTGAAGTCGGAGTCAGATGTTGAGTCGTACAATCACAAACTATAAATCATATTAAAAAAAGAGGGCTGCACGGTGTCCTGCAGCTTTGCCACAGTAGCTGCTCCCCTCACTGCCACCTATCATGTGGGGTGGGTGCACACACAGCTGGGAAGCTGACTGAGCTGCAGTGATGGCTGCCACAGGGACAACACATCAGACATGTAAAGTTGTAAAACGCACCGTCTTCTACGCACAGAACTGACCATAAATCCCATAATACCAACAGCTAAGTCCTTATTCCTCTTTCGACCCAGAGTTTAAAACATCCAAAAAGGTCACACACACACACACACACACACACACACACAGTTTCAAACAACAGCCCTCTCAGGGCAAAGTCGTTTCAGCACCACTCACATAAACCACCGCAAAGCGACACCACAGAGGAAAGCAGGGAAAATGCTCATCACTCTTTCTCCGTCACATTCTCCCCGCTGGGTTTCTACAAGGTCATTGCGGCGCACGACACAGGACAGGACAGGACACCCCAGCTACATACTGCACGTTGCAGCCTGTCCTGATGTTGTGCAAATCAAATGTAAACGCACATAAACAGGAAAACTTTTTTTATAATATAAAGAAAAAGTGCGGTTAAGGCAGAACTAGATTTATTTCCGCGTACTGAAGTGGAGAAAAGGGGAGATGACGGAGAGAGACAAGGACATCGCTGCCAAAAACCATCACCAAATAGACAAAGCTGGATCGATGATGGGAAGCTGTTCGTATGAAGTGTTAAAATACATTAAGACATAACCCTCGTAACCTCCTGCCTTCCCCTCTGCGCCTCCTCCACAGCGCTGAGATGGATGATGTTGATCTCTCTTAACGCACAAGACCTCCCAGCAAGAACAAGAGAGGGGCGCAATTCGCACCAAAAACCGCAGTCGGAAATCTTCAAATCCTGTCTGATTGTAATATCTCTAATTAATAATCAATTCCCTTCCCTTCGGGTACAGGTTTAGGGGTCATTGCGTTGCGCAGCAAAGGCCTATAAACTGGTTTTTAGTCATAAATAAATATGGAGTTGTATCATAAACACGCGGAAATCTTCCCAAATGTCACCCCTGCTCCTGCATGCACGGTTGAAAACGGGCACGGCAGCGGAAATCAATGCATTAAAAGGGAGGTAAAGACTGAATTGCACATTGAAAGAACATGATTCATCTACTTACCTTTCGGAGGGAAGGTCAGCGCGTTTCAGGGTGAACGGAATTCGCTTTTCTTTTTCTTTTTTTGCTGTGCAGGGAGTCACCCCGAGTACTTGAAGCAAAAAGGTCCTGTGTGCTCCTGTGATGTGCACTGACGTAGTAGCAGAGCTGCGCTCTCCTCCCCTCCTCCGCCCCCTTCACTTACTACACACCATCCTTCTCTGATGGAGACACCGCCCCCTCCTCCTCCTCCTCCTCCTCCACTCCCATCCCTCTTCTAGCAGACACCATTCCTGTGAGAAAGAGGAGGGGGGTTTGCTGGTTTGCAGGAAACGGTGAAGGTGATTTATTTTTCTCCGGGGTGATTCGGCCACAGGTGAGTCTGAATATTAGAAGGTCACACTTTACATGGGAAGCGCACAGGCAGGTGGAGAATGGGCTCTGTGCGCTCATGCTCAGTGGGTCTCGGTTAGACCGTCATTTGCTCCATATGCACCAAATGGTTGGTGCAGTGAACTGTGCAAGACGCGCCTCTCCCTGCACGTGCTTGGGCTCGTGCCTCTAATTGGCCTTGTTAGAAAAAAAAACACAAGGATGCCCCTGGTGGAAAACAACAGAAACCCTGTCCTATTCATTTTTCAAGGATGTGATAAATAATATCAGTGCAGTGTTATAGTGATATACGAGACAAACATATATTCTGCAGTTAATCCTATACAGTAACAGTTTGTACACTTGCCTCTCAGACTTTGAGTGTATGACAGTCTGATTAGGTCCAGCCCGTTTGATCTAAATACATGTTATCCTCTTGACTGTGTATTTTGTTTAACATGGGCAGAGCAGGACTTCCAGCAGCACTTGCATCAACTTGAATGGCGATGGGAAGAAGTGTTGAGGGACCAGAACAGGTCCTCTTCACTGCAGACATTTTCACCTGTCGTATAGAAGGAGAAGGAGAGGTGTAAACAATAACATTAATGATGACTTTGTTCTATTCAAATGTCCCATTAGGTAATGACAGTGTGACCGAGCGTGCACAACGTCAGGACCCTGAAACTGAGGAAGCTAAATGGAATTCAGCCATCATTAATTTTATCATCTAGACCTGTGCTCTTTCAGCTCTGTGATGTGATGTTGAAAAAGGCCCAGTTCATGAGGTGGATTTATTTCAGGCTGTGGCCTTCATCAATACTTAAAAAAAAAGCCCCCCCTCAGATGAAAATCAAGTTTCAAACCTTATTAACATCCATATGATGTTTTTATATAATACAAGACATCACGAGCGAAATACTCAGTCAACACCATGACTCAGGCAGGGGTCTCAGGCAGAGGGTGGCAGATTAAACCTGAGACCTTGTCAGCACAGAGATCAAGACTCAGCATTAGCCCAACCACTACCAGCGTGTCAACCTGGCGCAGGCAGCGGTGGTGGGCGGGGCACAAGGCCTGATCCAAAATTTCTCTATGAGGAAGTAAGTGTAGGTGTGATTCCAGCATGTTTTCCTTTTTTTTTTTCTCTCTCGCTTTTTATGTGGGAAAAACACATTAAACACAATATCAATATTAAGCAGAGCATTTTTCCATAGTTTAAAACATGTCTGAAGGGAACTTGTTTTTTCGCCACCTGGGGTCAAACACAACCTCGACAATAGAATATAAAAACCAGTTAACTGACAAATCCTCAGTCATGCATCCTGTAAATAAACAAATGCTTCTCTATTTCCTCTAAGGAAATTGTTATTCCCGCCTCTGACTGATCTAAAACCTCATTCATGGTAACATACAGTATGTGGGTAACACTGTGCCTTCAGCATTTCAGGTCTTTCAGTCAGAGCTCCATTGACGCTCCAGCTGTCGTCTGATTGTCATCAGGAGCAGGCAGATCAGATGAGGCCTGTCATCTCGCTTTAGGCTTTCAGCTGCCTTTGTCTGCTTGAATCAGCTATTGATCAGCTGGCCCTAAAGGGCTGCTATCTGTGGGCAGCAGTTCCTCCACCCTCTGTCCTGCTCAGTCTGATAGTGAGGAACCCGTGTGAGTGTTAAAGTGACAACGTGGCACATTATCGGTAGTGGAAAGTCTCATTTGCTTCTCCATGTTCCCCAAACGACAGCGGCAACATCACTGTAATGTTTTTCACTGGAGGATGGACCCCTCCACAAAGCAACACCTGCAATGACACAGCCGAGTTTATATTGACAGTATTAAACACTAGAGGTTGTCTGATGGTGTATTCTTCTTATTTGTGTTGACACCTTTCCACATATTTCAAGCAGATCATTGAATTCGTTTCCATATTGCGCCAAATTCAGCATCAAAAACATCAAAATATTGCTGGTGCTGCCATGTGTGTTTTACCTCTGTCGCTGCTGGAAAATGACTGAAGTCAGCCAAGCTAGCAGCTCTGAGGGCTGTACTTCAGCACAGCGGTACTTTGAATGCTAACATTACCATGCCAATATGCTCACAGTCACAATGCTAACATGCAGATGTAATTATGTGTTTGCATGCATACATTTGTTAATTATCACTAAACACTAAGAACAGCAGAGGTTGGTGTACTGAAGTACAGTATGAAAGTCAGATGCACACATGAACACACACTCCAGTTTTCTTAACATTCAACCCCACCACATACTAAAGGGCACACGCCCTCCTGTACGGGCACTGTAACAAACTCTTTAACATGAATGAACCAATCATCATGTGTCATTTCCTACAGAGGAGACGGAAAGAAAGAGGTGAAGAGAGAGAGAGGAGAGGAGGAACCCGCTGGTAATATGACAGGGGAGATAAACACAGCTACGCACTTTTCCCTGCAGCAGCCGGCAGCTGGCCTGGATGAAGCCCTGACACACCCGATTATCATCTCAACAAAGTGAAATATACCTTCAGAGAGTAACTGCAGCTCCACAGTGAACGCCACACGTGTGTGTGTGTGTGTGTGTGTGTGTGTGTGTGTGAGAGTCTGCAGCTTTTGTCTCTATTTGTTGTTTTCTTTAACTGCCCTAACAAAACGCTCCTGCGTAGTTGACACACAATTTAATTTCCAAACGTGATCAAATTTCCTGCGCACAATAACGTAGTAAGGGACAGTTTAATGATGTGCTTCCGCCAGCTCTTATCTGCAGTTGTAAATGCTGTAATGAATTGTAGTAGCAAGCGCAGGCCTTATATAAAACTGCACAGGTACGTGTGTTGAGCAGTTGAATTAAGGTTTTCTATGTAACTGACTTTGTGTCCCTTTTTAATCCTTCAGTATTAACCATGATGCAACATGATTCATTAACCTTCACAAAGCATCTACTATCAGTACGTACAGACAGTAATGTCCCTGCAGGATAGATTGTGTTGGCTGTAACTGTTTATGACAGTCAGCTGGCTGTGAGGTTTATAATAACTTAACTTTAATGGTATCAATGTAAATTTTGTCATTAAAGCAGAAAGTAATGCTGAAATGTTTGGGTCTCTTGAACTTTGGGGAAAATACTTGTCGCCACCTGGTGGTCACTACAGGTAACACGGTACAAATGTCAATTGCTATTTCTCATTGAAGTACTCTTTAATAAAACTAAAAAAAAAAAAAAACTTTAGAACTGCTCCGTTTGACAGTTATCACATTTTACAAATATCAATCAAAGTTTCTTCATTTAAACACAGTGTACTCATATATCATCATTTTTACTCCTGCTGCCACTCATTGAGTAGAAATGAGTTACGAATTACACCTTGTGGGATCTTATCGTCTGAATTAGAGCTGTTGTTTTCTTTTATCAATCCAAGACACTGTAGCTTCCTGTCTGCTATCTTTACCAAGACACTGTTGATTAGGAACATATAGGCTCTTTGATGCACACTGAAACTACTTCTTAACTAAAGCACACACACACACTGGAAAATTTATATATGTGATATATACAGTATATAGGAGCCTCTGGCATCGAACCACATCAGAGAGTCTCTCACTGATACCATTGGCCTGTAAATCACCATGATGGAAGATCATGAGTTTATTGTTTTTGCGATAATTTAGAGTGTAAAATAAAAATAAAAAAAAGATAAAATACTTTTAAACATTTTTTTAATGTAAAATATTTGTAATTAAATTCAGTTTTTATTTGTATAGCACCAAATCTTAATAAACATTATCTAAAGGCACTTTACTGGGTAAGATGAAGACCTTCCAATATTATAGAAAATGATATTTGGTCACAAGCTTCCATATTTGCAGTGCAAGGAAACAACAATGTTAATTAAATGGGAAGGTGTAAAAACTATTTTGTCTCTTATGGGTTTTTCTCAAGCGGTGTGGTAAGTTCTGAAAGTCACAGACATAAATAAAGATAAAAGTATTCACCCTTACAAATTACCAGTGCAGTCACTCAGCAAAGGCAAATCAAAATAGTTGAATAGCAGAATTTCACCAGTCCAGCTTCATGTCAGCTTTGCTCCACACATATTTCCCTCCTCTCTGCAGAAACATCTTTTCATCGAAGCCGCTAAAGCAAATGGCGTTTTTTACACCAACATCAAGGATGGACTTGGACGGGTCCTTCCTTCCCTCTCGACAGTCCAGGAAGCGCATCTGAAAAATGAGGAAAGGGTCAATCAGTTTGGGGGTTTCACATTCTAATAAGATAGATCAGGTGAGGTAAATTACCCATGTACTCTATTCACCTCCATTCAAACAGTCATCGTTTAATGATTTCTAACTGCCTCAAACTTGGAGTGCTTTTACTTCTATACTTAAAATAATTTTTTAACAAAATAAAAACTAACTCTGGAAAAAGTTACACTAACTAAGGTGAGATGCATGTGGCCTGGAACAAGTTTGAGTACTTACGTATTCATCCAGGATTAGGTAGGAGTTCCTCATCTGCGAAGACCAAGTACATAAATTAACACGTTGCTTTTCGAAGCCTGTTTTTTAATCCCAACATTGTCACACTGTTCATGCACACAACTGTACATGTCACCAGCACTGCTGATGTTGCTCCACTGACAGCAAACCTTTATTTTGACATTTAACAGTTCACTGTGGTAGAAGATAATCCCCTTTTCATTCACATCACTTTTTTACTGTCTGTGCACTTGATGTGTATTCAATCTATACAAACTCATTTTCAGTAATTAACAGAGATTTTGCTGAGATTGAACTTGCCTAATTCCGGCCACTACTTTATATCACGGGGTGTCAAAGGTTCAGATGTAAGAAGCTTACTCTGTGCATTTAAACATATCATACTTGTTGCCACTGTTTGGAGTCTCATACCTTCTCATTGGACTCAGGGACAAGGCAGGAGACGCTGCTGTGAGTGTCCAGAAACTCCTGAAACTGCTGGTCGCTGATGACGAACCTCTCTGCCTCTCTCAGGGCCACCTCTCCTGCATTCTCCCCATCAATCAGCAGACACTGGAACACCTGTGCACAGCGGACAATGAAGATGAGGATGAGGATGAGCGTATGTGCGATGACACAGACACACACTTAACGCATGCTCTCCCCATTCTGTCGTCACCTTCCAGCGGACCGGGTTGAGCTCGACGATGTGCTCCGTCATGTCCTCATCAACGTTGAAGGTGTTGATGACCGAGTTGATCTTGAACGCCACTTTGTACTGCTGGCACCAGCTGCGAATCCTGTAGAGGTTGTCGAGGTGGCTCTTCCTCCCTGAGCCCTGAGTTCTGCCAATCAGCTGATTGGTTGCTTCATCAAAACTGTCACAGGAGATGGCCAAGATGTCCAGATCGTCACCCTGTGGGGGGGGGGGGGGGGGGGCACTCAATATTTTGCATAACATTTGCATTGCTCCCAAATAAAGGAAAAGGGAAGAGAAAAAAGGAAAAATAATGTATGTAATAATGAATGTGTCTGAATCAGTTGACACTTACCATATGTCTGGAACCATTTTTCTTTGATCATACTTCCATTGCTGATGATGCTGACACTGGGGAGCTGCAGGTCCTGTTTACAGTACTGAACTAATCTCCCCAGGAAATCTCCCTTGTCGTGCAAGAAAGGCTCTCCTCCAGAGAAGTTGATCTTTTCCATACCTAATAAGCAAACAGATTATATTTTGACACCATATAAAAGAGCAGAATATATTTTTATTGTTTATTTTTTGTATTATTTTTATTGACACATTTCCATATCAGCATATAAATCACACAACTACACATTCCCACATATTTGCACTCACACATACACCCCAGGGAAGAGAGATATAAGTAAGACTTGAGTGAAGAAGTTTTAGGTGTTATGTGACTTCATTGTTAGTCTTGTCCATGTGGAATAATTAAACACGGATTCATATCAAAGAATGAACTACACTGCAACGTACTCACATGGCAGACCTTTCAACAAGTCCTGTGCACCTGCTCACCGTGCAACACCAGGAAATACTATTTAGTTAATAAGTGACTCCAATAATAAACGCTGTATGTTATCAATCCACTGGCAACGACTCGGCACAATTTTGGCCACAAAAACACAGAGCAACCACCTCACACATCCACAACCAAACGGAATAACATCAAAGCGGAACACAACACTAATAAAACAATGAAAGGGGGAACGTCAACACTTCTATAATTCCGTGCGCTTGGAAATGTCAGAGAGTCGCAGCGATGATTCCCTTGTGTCGCTGCAATACACATATATGGTCAGGTTGACTTTAAAGGATTCAATCGCAGTTTCTTCCGGTCAATAATTGAAGCACAGTGAAGTTGGTGTCTTCCAGTCTTTGAGAATACATGTTTTGTTTGTTTGTTTTTTGTTTTTGTTTTCTGCCAACTGTGTTGTCCATCAACAACACTGTTTGAATGTGAAGGGAGAATTTAAGTGTCCGCTGAGCAACCAAACAGAGCCAAGTCTCAATCAGGAGGAAGAGTCTTCTGGGAGACCCCAGAGAAAAAGGAGTAAAATGTTGACCAGAATGGATAAATAAGTGACAGTCCCAAAGTAAATACAACAATATGCCATTATTTAATTTACATTAATCTCAAATTGGAGACACAGAGAGTCCTCAGACCTTAAGAAGAGAGTATCTGATCTGGTAGATTTACCTGCTTCCTTCAGAAGTCTGAGGCCCCTCTTGGCTTCTTCCAGAGGCAGGACGAAGGATGTTTTTGCAGTGTGGAAACAAAATCCACATTTATAATTACACTTGCGCGTAAAATGATAGTTGACACTCGTTGGAGTCGTTGCATTTTGGACTTTCCTTTCCTCCAATGTCCTGTTTGTTCCCTTGAAGGCTCCTGGTGTCCAGCGCCAAACGATTGAAAAGACGCTCGCAAAGATGTGGTGCAGGGTGCTGATGCAGAGCTGCAGCAGCAGCTTCGGAGACGCCATCAAAGAGAAAAACGACCACATCACACTTATTTGCTCTGATGTTGATGTTGCGTATCAAATAGATATAGCTGCAGGGCTCGCCTTTAACACGGGGGAGGGGAGTCGATCAGCTGAGCCGCCGAAATGTTTCTGTTTACAAACTTTGAAAACGAAACTCAGCCTGGTGTGTGCGTGTGTGCGTGTGTGCGTGCGTGTAGAGCAGACCGCTGTATGTAGGGTGGTGATGATAGCATGTGACCCTCATTATAATCAGTCCACTTTTAAATACACCTTAAGTCAATATACAGATGCAACGGTAATAAGAATTTTACGGAAGGTTTATAGAGTGTGTGTGTGTGTGTGTGTGTGTGTGTGTGTGTGTGTGTGTGTGCAGGTGGGTGGGGGGTTGAGTGGTTATATCTATTAGTAACATGAGATCAGATATAGTATTTGCTAATAGTCGTGAACGCTTTTGATAAACTCCTCATTTTGCAGGTCTTCTGCATGAACCACTTCAGTGTAATTTAATGGCAGTTTTCAGAGCTTTGCTGTTGACATTTTGTTTTCGCTCTATTCCACCTGTTTCCTAATAATAATAATATATTTAATTCTATTTCTTTCTGATTTAATTCCTTCACCCCCATTTGGTCACACCTAGTGTCTGTCCTAACGGTGGCCCTTACCAAAATTATATCAGACACCACGTGACTGTGACACAACCGGCAACATAACTCAAGAAAACATTTGAGGCAAAGTTACGTTTCGCCTGTTTGGCTGCTGCAACTTTCGTTTTTTTCCCCCGCAGCTTCTGTAGCTGATGATGTAACGTGTCGGAGGTGGACGCTGACTCTCCGGTGCCTCTGGCGTTAAAATGGCATGACGTCTCTTCTTCGTCACTCTTTTTTTTATTTTTTAGGGGAGCTGCGTTCATGAAAAGTACAGAGGAGAAGAAGAAGTGACACAGCCTCAATTAACACTTTAACACTTCAACACATTAAAGTATAGGATCCAAATACAAGAGGTGTATTATTATTATTATTTATCATTTATTTATTCTTCTTATTATTATTATTCGGTTTCAGCTGGTACAAAAACGATCATTTTGAGCAACCTCTTTTCTAAAGCCTCACCGGGTCCGGTCCTTGAGGCATTTTGAGGCCATGTCAGTCCGCTGCTCCACTTCGAGCTCATTGGTTGGTGAGGTCCGGTCAGGCGTGTGTGAGTCTCTCTCTGATTGATGCAAATGAAACTCCTCAGCTGCGCCTCTCCGCGTTCACTCTCTGCTGCTGCTTCTGCTGCTGCTGTGGAGGAGGAAGAGGAAGAGGAGGAGGAAGAGGAGGAGGAGGAGGAAACCGGAGAAACCGTCCAAAGCGATTCAAACGCACAGACAGCGGCACGAAATGGAAGTAGCGCTTTGTTTACCTCCCTTCACATGCCTGCGGATGAAGGGTGATGATGATGCTGATGGCGCATCCCTTTTATTTGCATATGTAAAAAACGTGTGAGGGGTGGTGCAGTTTTTTTTTTTTTTGGGGGGGGGGGGTTGTTTTGTCCTGGATTTAAAGACAACACAGATCCAGTGGTGTCGTGTTTGCTGAATTATGATGCACGCCAGAAAGCAGGTAGATGAAATCTGGATTTTACCATGAGAGGAACAGGCATGGATCTGCTGTGGAGGATCCTCGCAGCTCTCAGCTTCGACTGCTTTAAAGATTCATCGTCGTCAAGGTGAGTGGTGATTGTTCAACCTTTTTTTACCCGGATTAAACCGAGAAATTCAACATAATCCTGGCAACAAATAATGACTGTGATATTTCTCTGTCATATTTTAAAATTCACCACCCTGGGTAATCCTGTATTGTGTAATCCTCACTGCAAATGGCAACGCTCAAAAACTGAATTACATGTTTGTTTTTCTCTTTCTCATTGATTTTAAATGATCAGGCTGTCAATGACACAGTCAGTCAACCGATGAGCAATGTTTTTTTTTTAATACTAAGTGGAAATATTGCCCTTCACTTTCACAGTTGTTATGACAACAGGTTTTCTGAGTCATTTGGCCTCACTGATACCAGTTCATGTTACACAATTAAGACTCAGTGGATCTGAAATCCCATGAATCCGTGTATAATCTGCCCCCTCTCTTAGGTGTGTCCAGTGGGAATCCAGGAACATTAACACAAACGATTTTCTTGCTCGTTAAAATGCCCCCAGAAGAAGCCTGTGCACCTTCTAATGGCATTTACATGTTGTGCATTCACATCAGGTCCAGTTAGTTGAGCCAGTGTGAGGTTCAGCAGAGCTCCAGCACCAAAGCAATAGGCGGCACCTGAGTCCGAATGTGACACAGAACATACAGAAAGACAGATTCATGTCAGCAAACACACTCCTTCAGTTTACTGAGAAATCACTCCAACAACTCCACCCTAACGGTGATCATTTCAGATCCTGTTTTACCTGTTATTTTTTTCCCCTCATATGTTTTAAGCGTGCACAGGAAAAACCTGACCCCAGCTTGTTCCCATTTGTCTAACACACAAACTGCTGCATCAACTAACAATTAGATTAATCTAGGGATTATTTTCTCCATTAATTGCTTGATTTGAAAATTGAAAATTGTGGGAAATGCCTCATAATGTCCCACAGGCCAAGCAGATTTATTCAGATTGCTTGTTTTTTTTTTTCTGCCAACAGTCCACAATCCAGATGTTCAGCTAATATCATATATGACAAATAAAAGCAGCAAATTCTCACATTTGAAAAGCTGGAACTAGAGAATATTTGCTACAATTAACAGTTAAAACAGTTACTGCCTAATCAAAGTAAGTGCCAGTTTACTTTTAGTCAACCAACTGTTAAAGATCGACATATTTTTTGAGACAGTTTGGTTTGTTTTCTGTCAATTTCTGGTAAATCCAGAGCAGTGTGGAATAAACTCATGTTACAAAATATAGTTCTGAAACAATTAGTCAATTCAGTTTGTTATTTAACTAATTTTTGTAGACTAATAAATGCGAAACAGCTGATGCCAGCCTCCTAAAAGTGAGAATTAGTTTTATGTCACTGTAACTTGAAAATCTTTGGGTTTTTCATTGTTTTTTCAGACAAAATAAGACATTTAAAGACGCCTTTAGCTCTTGAACACTGTGATGGGTTTTTCTTTATTTTCTGATACTTTATAGACTAAACAATGAATCAAAAAAGATTAGTCTAAATTATTATTAGTTCCATTCCTAATATAAAACAGACAAGTGAGGGCGATTACTGGGTTGTTAGTACCCACATTACCACTATTGTCCTATGCAAACTGGATATTTGAAGCTGATACTGAGCAATATTTGTGAGTTTTTAAACTCTGATAACAATATAGGCCTATTGGCCAATTTCTTTACATAAACACATGGTATGAACAGTGTTGAACAAGTTGTTTTTTTAAAGGAATAGCTTGATATTTTGGGAAGTAGGTCCTCTTATCGCTTGCTGAGGGTTAGAGGAGAAGATGCCACTCTTGTGTCTGTATTCTAGCTTTTCCTTTTAACAACTTTGACCTATAAAAATCAACTTGCAACAGTGCTATATGAGCTCCTCAGTTTTATCAGCGCCAACACTGATATATCTGTGATAAGCTAATATTAGCCAATATATTTCTACCTTTATGCCCCAGTGCACACGTCATATCCTAACTGGTTTCACCTTCAGAACCTGATGAAGGTCTCTGAGATTAAAAATGTTAAATGTATTGGGAGCTATCAGTTGGCCTGTAGTGTGTTTGGGCTAAAATATTATTTGTTTTGTTTTGTTGATTTATCGTTGTGTAGTCTTTTAGAAAAGCCCAGCATTATTTCTGACTGACGAACAATCCAAAAATCAGCAAATATTTGCCAGAAGAATAACTCATCAAGATTCATTGCTTATAGTTTATTTTTCTGTTGATCAACCGTGTGATTAATCGACGGATCATTTCAGCTCTACAGGGTGTGCACCCTCACATCCTAACTGTCCCCCCCCCACCCCTCAGGTCTCCCACCAAGCTGAGCTCCAGTCAGGCCGGCAGCCTGGAGAGCAGCTCCCTGACCGGCTCCCTGTCGCTGGGCCCCGATCTGCCTCACTGCCAGTGTTGCATCTCCTACGAGGCCCGCTTGAAGCGCCTCTCCTGCGGCCACCTGTATTGTGACCCCTGCTGCGACCAGATCGTCAACCTGGCCTTCGAGGACATCGAGGGCCTGTCCGACTACCCCTGCCCCATGTGCAAGTCCATCCGCCAGCTGGGAGGCCTGGGCCCGTCCTCCTCTGGGTACTTCTGCGGGCCCTACAGCATCCTGCAGGAGCACGGGAGTCTGTGGGGATAAACTCTCCTGATGTTGAACTTTTGACTTCTTCTCCTATGACCTGGTTGGTTTTTAATGCACTGCCACTGCCATCATAGCTATGTGGTGACTTTGGACTACATCAAATGGTCATCTTACTTTATTCGGTCTTGCTCTGTCGTCTGTGATTATCAGGTGAAACGTGAGAATGCATGACACTAACATCCGTAGGTTTAAAGTGCCAAAATGCATAGACTGTTGGAAACTTGAACATCATCATAACAAATGTGGAAGAGGTGTCTCTTATATTTAGGTCCATTTTATCCCAAAGCTTAGTGAAACAATGTAATGATCAAGAAAAACACCTCGTTCATATTTTTAGTAGCATGCAGGTTTTCTACCAACTCCTGTATAAAAACCACGGAGCTTCATTCTGTTGAATCTATTGTTGGGAATGGAACAACCAAACCAGAGCTTTACATGAATTAACTGTGCAGTAGATATTTTGTATATTTAACATTTACTGTCCGGCCAGTTCTTACTTTGTACATTTCCTCTTAAAGTATTGAGCATTTTGCATATGATTGTCGAATAGATTTACTCTGACTGTACATATCATGCTGGACGGTTGGATTTAAAATTTTAATTGTATTGTACAATGCCATGCTACTTTTTAAGTGTTCCAGATCATATTGTAAATATTTATTTTGTTAAAAAATAAAGTCTGTGAGCTGTGTACGAGAATGGATTGTTTTATTTTTGTGGAACAGATTCAAATTATGAACAGAGTTGAGAGTTCATGAACTGATAACACTTTTCAAAACATGCTGATACAAAAAATATGTACATCTGGCAAATTTAAGTGTAGTTCGTACCAAAAACATTAAATTATACAAGGACACAGACCGACAGGTGTAAGATCAAA